GTGCCCCTCCCAGCCCCTGCCAGCCCCTGCCAGCCCCTGCCAGCCTCTGCCGCCCAGCGCAGGCAGTGACGGCCCTGAACCCGGGGCGCGCCCAGCAGTGCCCCGACTCCCTTCCCAAAAACCTGTCTTCTTTTCATTTCTTAAGATCTCCTGTGCCCTCAGGGCCTGAGCTCTGGCCCCCAAATGAGCATTAACAGATACTTCCCACTGAATAATAATCTAAGGCACACAGAGAGATTATTATAACGTATTTTAAGTCGTTCAGATAGCAGCGATCCTTAAGCATTCCGTACATGGGTTTGTAGCTAAAAAAACAGCAGAATATCAAAGCCGTCAGCACACGTGGTCCTTGGTTGAGGCAGCGGTGGATGAATTGTTCCTCTACTGTAACTTGCCAGACGTTGTCTTAGACCAGAACATAGTTTTTACCTTAGTTTGGTTTTTTTCATTAGAAAATATATCTCTGAACTCTCAATTCTTAAAGCCCATGGGCACAGCTGAATTACCTTAACTGAAAGCCAGTTCCCACCTTTGGGCCTATGAATTATTTGCTGTGAGCTCAAGAGTATGACTTGCCCTGACTCTCTGGCGCCACGTCACTGAGTTCTGACACAGACTCTCACTAAAAGCCCCACCAGCAAGACCGCAATGGCCCCTAGGAGCAGGAGCCCTCTCCTCAGTGCCAACTGCTTCCCAGTCAACTTTGTCAGGTCCTTTGGGTGGACCCGAAGGTGTTCTTCTTGGTGCAACTGCTGATCCAACTGGGTCTCATCTTTTTTTTCAACGTCTTTCATTACAACTTCTCCATGGTTTTCAGGGCCCACTGAGGGGAAAAGGAACTTAGTTAGCAGCTTAAAAGGACTTTTTCCATCAGCATAAAAGAGATATAAAAGGTGATGTGTATTATATGTTACTAGCGGGGAGGAAGTTTATTCCAGAAGCTGTTGCTGCGCTAGGTAAGTGAAAGAAATTCTATCTCAGGCGTTCTCCATTCACTCAGTCACAGGCACTGGCCGGGTCCTGCTGCGGCCGCTTGGGCCTCCAGGGAGCTCTGCCCGCCGCAAGAGCTGGGGAAAGGTGGCAGCACTCGAAGTTAAAATTCACAGGAGGAATTTCCAAGGAGCCAACACCTGTGTAACCACCTCAGGAAGAGAAGAAGGCCGGCAGAGAAGACAACCTAAGAAATCATCTGAGGCCATTCACATAACTGACGGGACGTGAATGCTCACCGAGGCCTGCTGTATACTCGGCGGGACAGTGACTCAGGCTGGATTTAGCCTCATGACACTGCAGAATAGTAAGAGTAAGAAAGATATCCTAAAAGCTTCCCAAGAGAGCGTAAAGGCAGATGACCTAATGGAACAGGAGCAGGATTGACCCTGACTCTTCATGAGCATGAATGGGTATGAGGGATGCTACAGTGCTCTCGGAGTTCGGAACGAAAATAATTTCAGGTAGAATGATATCTTACGTTCACAAAATGCTTGCTTAGCAGGAAGCCTTTCCCGGGTGTGAGCCCACTCACTCTCACAGCAGACGTGTGAGGTAAGTGCTGTTACTATCCTGGCTTTTTACAAAGGGTGCTTGGCAGAAAACTTGGACCAGCCACTTCTCTAAAGATAATTGTGAAAGCTGGGAAAACAAGTGAAAAACACCATCTTGAAGGTGTCACAGCACTAACAATGTAATGAAAAGTCAGTCACCAGGGCAAGATCTAGGCACAGGTGGAAACCCAAACAAGTGAGCCAGGATTTGGGGCCACTTTTGATCTGAGAGTTTTCCATCTGGACAGAGCAGTGCTTTGGAGAGCTCAGCACCTTCCAAGGTTAACCCCTCTGTACTTCAGGTTGGACTCTGAAGGGCTGCATCCAAGAATTAAGGACGAACCAGAAGTCAGACAGTCCTCACACTGGTCGCCTTTGGGTCGGCTGGGTGGTCCGGAAACTTCCATCTCTGAAATTGCTCTAGACTGCCAGTAACCCTACGTGTTAGAAGCAAAGGAAAATCCCCTCCGAAGACAGGCAACACCATCTTAGGCCTCAAATTACTTCAACAAACAACTTTCAAATACAAAAAGTCTGGGACACAATCAGGGATAACCAGGCACATGGGAGACTAGACAACACGAGTGAGATACGGCAGAAACAACAGAGCTGACCACTGACTGTAATTCGGCCAACCTATGAACTCAGAGGGTTCCCCTTATAAAGGCGCAGAAGGACACGCGTGAGCACGGGACTGAGAGCCTGAGGACCTGGGAACCTGGGGCATTACCAAGCGGCTGGAAGAAGGGGAAAGACATTCGCGTGATGTTTGTCAGAAGCAACAGTCCACAATAATCTGTTTAAATCCCACGTTTGCCTGATGAACGGGAGAACCCATAGAAACAAACATACAAAGGCCAGTTTCCAGGGTGAGGTCAAAGCACAGGATGAGCAGCGTCGGGAATGACCGGGCCGAGCGCAGCGCCGTGATTAGCCGGGGAAGTGGCTCCCGAGCGTCAGTCGCCTGGAGCAGCATGTTAGTGTCTGGAGCTGGAGCAGCGAATCTCAAGTCTGTTTCCCTCAAATGGGCTGTTTCTGCCCTTATTTAAATGGGAACCCACAGCAGCAATCTCGTCGCGTCCCACAGATGGCCCCTCTGGGACCACCTGGAGAGGCTGTTCCAAGAGTGGGGCAGTTATATCATACCTGGGTCAAGTAAGTCCTGAGACAGCGAAGTCCCATCCTGGGCCGCAGTTAGTTTCATGTTGGCATGTACCTGAGCCTGCGAGATGAAGTGCAAAGTAAATCCACAAGGCTCTACCACGGTGTGGCGAAAGGACTTGACCTGACTCCCCAGTTTCAGAAAAGCCAAGCCATTTTCTTTAACTGACGTGTAGCGCTGGAGCTTCTCTAGTTCACAAGCACGGAATCACCTTTCACAGTAACTGACATGGGTCAGTGGGTGGGGGAAGGTAGGGCAGAAAAGCACAAGATGAGGGGAAGGTGGGGACCGAGACCATTTACAGTTACCCTTCTTTTTCCTTCATCACATTTACCTGTCACCTATTTTTCAGACCCCACTGACCTTAGAAAGTTGGGGAGAAAGATGCACACAAGTATCTTAATGGAATATTTTGGGATCATGAAAAACAGTATTAGGATAAATGTGATGGCATACCACCTTTTCAGGTCCAAAGTTTGTCCTGAAATTGGCTTTTCAGACACAAGGGAGGTAGCCTAGCATGGGATACTAGGAAGAAAGGAGCCCCCAATTTTTCTATTCAATGAATAAAAAAGGGGAATGGGTAAAGCAAGGGTCGTATGGCCCTTCAAGTCTGAATTAGATGCAGCTAAAACAATAACAACAACAAGGTAGCATCTGTGATAAAAAGAAGCGAACCTTCCAAAATGAGAGAGAGA